TTTTTTCGGTAGTTAATATAGTATGTTATAAGTAATATTAATATAATTAGTATTACAGTTACTATGTTTTGAGTTATAATGTTAGAATCGTTAAATTAATTTGGTGTTATTTATTGAGTATATGTTGCAGTTGAGGTTGCAGTTTGGGTATTAGTTATTGTTATGTTTTGGGTCACGGTCGGTGTTGGTATTTGTATTATTGAGAATATAACTTGTTTTTCTTTAATAGTTTGAATTGAAAAGTTGTTCATATAACTTGTTTGATTTACTTGGTATCAGGTTAAGATAGTTGAACTTGTGTGATCGATTAGTTTTTCTAGATTTTACTAGTATATAAGAGTGTTGATCGTTCAGGTATCTTGGTATTGATCTATTTTGTAAATATGTTAAGCTTCTGTTGTTGAAGTATCTTTGGTTTTGTTGAGGTATAGAGTCTCCAAATTGTTTAAAGACTTCTTGATAGTTTGAATTTAATAATGATTGATTAAGTTCTTGCTGTGTTGGTAGGTATTAGGCGTTAAGATATGTATTTGGGTCTGATGGTTGGTGTGCCTTTGTCTTTTTCTTTTTAAGGTTTAAGAGTTTTAGCATTTATTGTAAAGGTAAAATGGGTGGTTAACCAGTAGTTCTTTTTCTTGAAAGGTTTTTCTTGCAAGTTATTATTCTAATAGAGATTATTCCAATTATAAGTGTAGTTATGATAATAATTGTAATAATGAGTACTGTAGTATCGCTTATAGTTTCTGAGGTATTTTGTATCTAGAGTATTAAGCAGTTTTGTCTTTCTTGAGCAAAGTATGCAGCTTGAGGGTTCTCTTTATAGTTTCTTTTCTGTTTGTACTATAGTACACAGCAACATAATAGTATAGTAGTTATATTGAGAAGTATAAGTATTAGTATAATAAAGAATAGTGTTAACGATTGTTGGTTGGTGAATATATTTGAATCACAATTATTTTCAAGAGTTGTTTCAGTAGGTAATGTTGGTGATATTGTAGTGATTGTGGTTGATATTGTTTACTATTTGTTAGATTGTTGTTGATTTTGGTTATTATTATTGTAGTTGGGCGTCTTTTCTTATTTTCTTTTGAAGAATATATTTTAATCGTAATTTCTTTTGATAATTTTTCCAGTAATTTATTTCCAGGTCATAAATGTTACATCTGATGAGTTAGATGTGTAATTGTCTTCTGTAGCTGTTTGCATATGATATTTTTTACGGAGATTAGATCTGTTTAATCCTGTGCCTTGTACTAATAGACATTGTCTATTTTTCTCTTTGTTTTTCAATTGGTTTGCAAGAGTGTTTAGATTATTTTGCAATAAGAGTGCAATAGATTGTTGAAAAGTATTGTTTGGTAATCCTTGAGCAGTTTGTATTCCAACAGGTGGTAATTCTAATTATTGTCTGTATTGTTGTTTTCGACGTCTTTGTCATCTATAGCAAATTGTAAGTATTGTTACAATTGTAGTTAATATTGCTAATATTGTTCCTAATATATATATATTTTTTTTTTTCGGTGTTAAGGTGAGGTCTTGCCTTGTATCTTTATTAGATGTTAAATTTTTGCCTTATATGGCTACATA